TGTATTCTGTTCATCACCAGAAACAGAGAAAAGCGTCACTCTTTGTAAAATGGCCTCAAAAGACAGCCAACCACTATGCTGCAGATATTTGTGCAAAATTGGGGAAATGTGAAAGGTCTCAGAAAATATTCAAAATATTCTAGTAAATGTCAAAGATCTACTGTACAATTGCATTTCTTAACATAAAGGAAAGGTCTCATCCTATTTCATAAATAGTTTCTAGCAATAAAAAGTCACATGAAAAGGTCAGGGTACATGGCATTTAGTGCACCCGATAATTCAATAGTTTGTCTGCCTTCCAGCCTGGCCTCCTAGAACAAGCCAGCTGTGAAGAGGATCGCTGAAATGCAATCCTTGGGGAGGCTCACGAGCTGAGACCAGTGCAGTGTGAGCCACGGAGAGTGGTGGCTGCTGGCCACCTCCCCTTCCCACTACATGCACCCGCTGTAGGCAGGAGACAGACTGAGTTATCAGTAGGTACTTGCGTGCAAAGCAAAAAGCTCAAGAAATTAAATGGTCTAACGGTACTGCTGAAGACTGAGCTATCATCAGTACCCTGCGTTTCTTTCTCAGGTGCCAGCCAGCTTTTTCAGAGCAGATGGGAACCACCGTCAACCAAAATGAGGGAGCCAAAGACAGTAGGATCAGATACTGCGTCTGTAATCTGGGTGTTAAGTCAGCAATCCTTTCTCCCTTGATGTAGACTGAAGAATTCTGACCAGATGCGCTGACCCAAATTACCTAGCGGGAATCTATTTTTCCTTTAGTGGTTAACCCTCTATCACCTAGATTAGTGGAAAGACAGTATCCTTCATTCCTTCATATTTAGAATTTAGGCATATGAACTAAATATGGATTGAAATATGGATTGTTCTACTTTAAATTCAAAACCATTTTATTTATTTCAAACCCCAAACCCATAAATAGGTGCATATGATATTTTAGAGTCTTAACACATGAGCTGACTTGCTTACTGACTTGACCTGGAAATGGACAAACTAAAAACATGACTATTTGGGGAGAGGAATTAAGTGTTCCCAACAATAATGGCCCCACACAACCTTCTTACATGTTGTCTGTTACTTTACACCACAAGCCTTCAGCTCAGTGAGATTGGTTCTGCCAGCTGACTGCTCAGCTCTGCACAGGCCCAAATTCTGTGCCCTTTCTACAACTCTTCTTTTTCTGCCCTCAGCCATGCTCGTTTTTTCTGCCTGTCCAGTCACCTAGAGTCTCCAAGGTCTAAGGAAAATTCAACTTGAGAAAGCCTTCCCTGAGTAGTTCAACACTGTCTGCTCTCTCTCCACTGAACACTCCTGTGATTACTCAGCATCATGTTCGTATGTTACATACCATATGTCAGTGTGTAATCATATTGTCTTACACTGTTCTTCAGACTTTTTCCATGTGTGTTATTATCGACCCATGAAGATGGTAAAGTTCTTGAAGGCGAGGTCAATCTTAAACAAGATATACCTGCAAACAAATACGATGTGTTTTACCCTTACCCTCAACTACTTGAACCTAATTTCAACAGGTTTCAAATGTGCACGCTTGTGCCGCCTCATGGTAAAAGTAATTATTGCATGGTTACAGTTAATTGGCTTACCAAACAGCAAACCAAATTAATGGCCGCACGAAATCATTACTTGTATAAAATGACAGAAAAATAAAGCTATTTTTGCTAAAAAAATTATGAAGCACCAGAGGTGAAATAAATATAACTAATTTTTGTTGCAATAAGTTAAAAGTTTATTATTAAATATATAATAAACAACAAAAACTTCCTCATATAAAGGTCTCTTTTCTCTAAGTTAGCAACTTCCTTTTGGGTTTGGGTTAATCTACTATTGAAAAAAAATTGTATAATCACACATTGAAATGCCCTATGATTTGAGGTACATATGAAATAAACCATCCATGACAAACGCAGATCTAGGATACTATGCTTGTCTCACTTTTCAGATAAAAGAAAATGATATTAATTCAACTAATACTGGCTCTCCATGCAGTATCTGCAGGGCACTGCACAGCCTTAGGATGGGTATGACCTAGCAAGAGATAAAGCAAGTACGCTGATGATGGAAATCACGGCACTTGGTTGGGGGGGGTACACACTCTTTGCAGTTATTATTCCAAGAACAACGTATCTATACAGAGTTATAAAGGGATTTCTATTTCAGGTAAGTATTCATTTTCCAAATGTTCTTCATCTCAATGAAATATATTCTAAATAGAGGAACAGAAACGACTTTCCTTGTTTTGCATTTTCTTCTTATTCAATCCTTCCTAATAAGACCTTTTATCCTTAACTTCTTGATGTCATAAATTTCTCACTTTCCCATTTGTTCTATTTGATGTCAGCACCACTAAATTCGGTTACATGTGTGGCAATAGAAATGTTATTTAATGATAATTGGTTTTAGTATATGGTCTCCAGGGTTCCATTAAGTACATTTATTTCTAATAGTCATTTGTTTTAACAGCACGCTTCTTTTTAAAAAAATGTCTATTGAATGTATTGGGGTGACATTGGTTAATAAAATTAAAGGTTTCAGGTGTATCGCTCTATTTCGAATTGATTATCAAACGCAGATCTCAGGGGCCTAAAGATCAGGAAGGTATGCTGGGCCCTTCTTTTCTCAAGGAAGATACTCTGGCCTGGATGACCTCTTCACCCCTGATTCTCGATGAAATGTGTCCTTCCTGTTCACGGGACACCAGCCCTGCCCCAGCCCTGCCTAGAGCGGAGCTGCCTCCACCCTCCGCCTGAGCCTCCTTGGGCTGCGCCCGCTCCCCTCGGCATCTCAGGCAGCTTCAGAGCCACCTGCCTTGTGCCCACCATCTTTTTTTCTTTTGAAAACATCTTCCCTGGGACAACCATCCAGATCACTAGTATCACAAAGGTCTTTTATTAACTAAAATCATACTACAGATACAAAAGGCACCAAGTCATAGTAAAAAAAGCACGGCTATTCCGTCAGACAAATCACATCCCAATAAGTTCGACGAGCTGCTTCACCTCAATTTCTGCTTCCGTTTGCTCTATACATTAAATATCAGTAGTAGGAACTACCATGTAGGATTGCTGAGGACTGACGGAACACTTAGCATCATGCCTGGTTTTTAGCAAATAATAAATGTTAACTGCTGTTCCTATAATCATCATCATCATCATATGTCTTACGTCTATTATAGTACAGAGGCCCCGTTACACTTTTCTAACTAAAGCAAATAGAATCATCTGTGTTTCTCTTTTTACTGTATGGGGAGAGGGGGCGGATCAGTTGCCAGTTCTGGCAGGAAAAATTGCATACTGTGGTCGTTGACTAGTACTCTGAGTGATGACTAAGTAATAACACATTCTCCAAAGCTACAAATCAGTTTGCTACTAAAATATTTTCCAGATTTCAGAACTACAGATATATCCTTACCCACTATAAAATGATCTCTCAATTATCCCGCCTAGATTTAGAAAGATTTTTATTAGCAAAAGATGTGTTCCGACAGCATACTTGTGTTAACAGAAATCCAGCAGACGCCTGTGTTCCCTGATGTCAGAAACACCTTTAATAAAACCATGAAGTACTATGAAGCATTAGGTGACGCGAGGAAATAAAAAAACACACTGCCAAGCGGGAAGGGAAATTCTGAATGGGAAGCCGCAGCGAGCGGTGCCCCAGTGAGAGACAAGAAGCCTCGCTGCTGTCACGCCTGTGTGCCCCCCACGCCTGCCACGGGCACACAGCACTGCCCTCGCCACGCACTTCCACGGGGAGAGGGGCGCTCCCTCGTCACACACCATGCAACCGTCAAGTCCATTTCGTATTCATATAAACACAGAATTCCAAACGCAAGCCAGCCACACGAACAGGGACACCATGTTCAGTTTGTAATGTAATTTTGGACTGACCGTATATTTCTCTGAAATCGCAGGTACTTAGCTGTAACAGTTCTTCATCTTGGCAAGGTTCACCAACTAAGGTTATACTGTACTTAGTGTCTTAAAGCACATTAAACCCTAATGAAACAATAATGCCATTTAGGGGAAGAAGAAAGAACTTTATGCTCACACAATGTTTCCAGGCCTTTAATGTTAGGAATGAGCAGTTTTGTGACAAAGAGGTATTTACCAGATGAAGGTGATAATTCATCACAGGTGTCACCAGAGTCTCCTTCTGCCAGGTGACTCTGGGCTTTGAGTTTCTCTTGTGAAATCAGTTAACACTTCAGCATGTTCCCTCCTCAAATACAGTAATGTGTGTGCTACCTATTTGTACGTACATGTGTGCATGGATACATACACATATAAATCTGCAGCTATAATAAAATGTAAAACTGTTTTACATTTTAAAATACCCAATAAAAATATCAAGACGTAAACATTTAGACGGGTGTTGAGTGTGGTCCCGTCAGTGGAATCCCCGTGTCCCCACAGGCTCTCCAACAGGCGAGGCTCTAGAAGTGCGTGTGAGGCAGCTGGCGGTGGGGGACGCAGACTCGGGAGGAGAAGGAGGTTCTGCCCCGACCTACAAAAATTTATGGACCCCCCTAGACGGCAGTTCTATTCAACCCTAAAATGAAGGTGGCATTACTGCCTTCCTACCAACCAGAATCATTGGTTGGAGTGACTAGAATAATAAATGCAAAACTATTTTTAACCTATAAAAGACTACAGTAGAAGTAATAAGATACTTTCAGGACAATTTTGCTGCTTTGAGAAACATCTAAAAATGGAATGATTGTTTAACTGTATACATCATTTTGTCTATTCCAAAAAAAGTTGGAAAAGTGTTGCTTTTATAAAGACATCTTTTCTATTTCTAAAGAATATATAATAGAACATTTTAGTACATGGGGTCAACCTAATATAAAAATACAGGCTCTCATTTCTTGAGATAGAATACAAAAAAAGTGCTTTGTTAGTTCTAAAGGTATATATAAAGTTTAGCAATTTTTGCCACTTAAATAAAAAAGAGTACTTTGAGAAGGGTGCTTACCTTCTCTCAGACGATCCACCACAAAAGTAAAGCCTGTGGTTCTCGGATGCAAGACATACTCGTATTTCTGGAGTCCGTTCTTCTCAGCAAAGTCATTACTTCGGGCCTTGCTGTTTTCTGAACAAAACAATAGAAAATCAGAAGCAATAAAATAAAGGAAGATAATGTGAGGTAAGAAAACAGGACAGAATTTCTTTGATAAAAATGGCAGTTAATTTTTCTGTAATTACCAAGTACAGTAAACTGAGTCAAATAAGAAGATATAAACACTTATGTAAATCCCTAACAAAGATCTTAGAGTATGTATTTACTGGAATTTTGAAAAATTTATAAGGTATTAACAGACTTTTTATGATGGTTTATAAATGCAAACTCACATTTTTAAAATTCTTTAAGAGATTTCATAAAAGTCAATATACAGTGAAAACTAAAATACAAATAAATTCCTAATAAACTAAATTTCCATAAAATAATCTTTACATAATAAACACTTAAATACTAAATATAAGATGCCAATAAAGTAAAACCAAAATAGTAATAAAACATAAGGAGATTTATACATCCAGGAGAAATAAGTAGTAATTTGCCAAATATATCAGATCGACATTTTTTTTAACCCGGTAATTTAGGGCTTCGATGCAGAGGGAAACATCCTCCCCACTCGGGCACCGAGTGCTAGCATCACTGACCAAAACCACCCCACGGCCGGACGGGCACACGATCAGCACATCACGTACCAACATCTGAACGTGGTTTGGCTGAGGAGAGTTACAAAGTCAAGTATATGTTCCAAATTTTGGCAAAAACTTCTTTTTCCATTCCATGAGGTAAGTTTATAAGTTCCAAGAAGAACCAAACCCATTACTCAGCAAATATATTTGGAAAAAGTAGAGTGTTCAGAAATCTGGCCTCAACCCCTGGGGGAGATCAGGAAATAGCTTCTGATGACAGCAGATGTTAGAACATGCAAAACTCAGCTGCATCCTGGAATTTATGGGCCACTCTAAGTCACAAGAAAAAGACATATATATTTATATAAACACAGCTTTCCTAGGAATAAATTTAAGCCCATGGAACCCTCAAAACCTCAAAAAACCACAGATGGATTCAAATATTCAAAGAACAGTCCTATAAATGGGGTTACATTTTTATTACTATTCCAAGGGAGGAATTGAGTCAAAGAACTAAACGCCCACAGATCCGCAGCAAGTCCAAAGCGAAGGCCCTACACATAAAAAGTAACAAGCTCCTTTCACATTCGTTTGAGGAGAATGCCGGGGCACGGGAGCACCCAGCAGTCCCTCGCCGACGGCGGACAGGACCTGACATGGGATGAGGAAGCCTGGGCACCAGAGGATGAGTGTTGAACTGCTCGTCAGGGGGCTCTTCCAGCTCATCACAGACTTTAGGGAATGGAAGACCACAGTGAGCCCTGTTGTGGGATGTGCATGCCCGTCTAGGCACCTCTAAAACACAGCCACAATGTGGGAAGGCAGAGATGATCAGAGACAGCGAGACAGAGATGCAGGTCTTCCCCTCCACACCCACTTCACTTGCCCATCCGTGGACTCGGTGGTTGCTGGTAACCACTTTCTGCCCACAGCCTCCTGTCTTGTCAGCTCACTCCCTGTAACACTCCAAGGCCAGCGCTCCTTCCAGTCCAACGGGCCAACCGGCCACTTTGCTGTTCTCAACCAGACAGGCATGTTCCCACCTAAGGGTCCGTGCATTTGTTCTTCCCTCCACCCAGAATGCCTTCTGCCCAAATACCTGCATGGTTTTCCACTCTGTTCATTAAGTCTGCTTAAGTAGAAACTTAAGGGGCTTTCTGTAACCACCTTATATAACATAGCACCCTGCGTCCCCACCTTCTGTTACTCCCTCCTTATCTTTACTTCTGTGCCCAGCGTTTATGAATACTGGGCATAGTTTCATTAACTTATTTGTCTTTTATCTAGTTTTCCTCATAGAATTTAGGCTTCATACAAGTAGGGACTTTGTCTTGTATATAAAGTTCCAGGCACTCAATACACTAAATGAAGAAGTTTTATATACAAGGGTATTTAACTGCATTTAATGTTATAATTGTTAAAACCTAGAAAACCTTTCCAAATCAGAGAAAGAGAAGCCAGAATTACGGTAGACCAATTGTGATGGTAAATTTTATGGGTCAAATTGGCTAAACATTATTCCAGATATTTCTGTGAAGGTATTTTTGACGAGATTAGTATTTAATTCAGTAGACTTCAAGTAAAGCAGATTATCCTCCAAAATGTGAGTAGGCCTCACCTCTCTCTCTCTACACACACACACAGACACACACACACACCCCCCCTTCTGGTTCTGTTTTTCAAGACAACCCTAATAACCAATATAATGAAAAATAAAACCTACCCAATCTTTAAATCATGTTTTCAAAGAATATAATGTGAGACATTACAATATAAGTACAAGAAATACTATAATTCTAACTTTCCAATTTTGTTTTAAAATGTGTGTGTGTGTTTATGTGCCCATACATATGCCTGTATGTGTGTGTACACATGTGTATGTATGTATGTGTGACCAAAACACACAAAAGCAAGAGAGTAAAATTAGAACAGGTTTCTTTATGGGAAGTAGAACTGACTAACTCTTGTACTCCTATACTTTTAAATTTCCCCAAATTAATATAAATTACCTCCACAAACAAGAAAAAAGTTATAACTAACAATAACATATAAAGACAGAATATATGTAAAATTACACTTAAATATACCTATCTGAAAATACGTAAGCAAGCTGGGTTCAGAACTTAGAAGATTACAAAACACTTTCTTTGGGCTTAAAAGACCAAATTTAGAGTTAACTGTGGTTAACTAAAAACACCTTTGGCCCTGACCAGTGTGGCTTCAGTTGGTTGGATATCATCCTGCAAAGCCAAAGGTTGCTGGTTCAATTCCTGGTCAGGGCGCAGGCCTGCGTTGCAGGTTCTCTTCCCAGATGGGGTATATATGAGAAGCAACTGATCATTTTTCTCTCTTTCACTGATGTTTCTCTTATTCTTTTGCTCCCTTCCTTCCCCCATCTCTAAAAAATAAATAAATAAAAATCTTTAAAAATTAAAAAAAAACATAATTTAAACAACCCTTCAAATGAACACTTTTTCAAAATTGAAAGTAGACTGGTAGCCTATTTAAAAAAATTTTATCCCAACTTTAAACTATCTGCATAATGCTCTATTTTAAAAAAGATTTTTAAAGCTTCAGGATTGGTCTGTTTTTTCTATTTGGCAAATGGTCTGTACATGCCCTTTTAACTTAAAAAATATGCAACTGCATCATGTAACAGTGAGTACTCTGGACCCTGAAAATAAGCAACTAGATGTTAATTAAATTCATCACCTAAAAAAAGACACTTGAGAAAAAATGTAGAGTGAAAAAAGTTTTAAATATATATGTGTGCAGGCTCTGAAGGTCTAATGCATGAAAATTCTAACAACGATGCACCAAAGCAGCAGCAGCCTGCGAACTTTCACCCCATTAGCATCTAATTACTAAATAACCTCCAAAGGCACCATTGCTTAGTGCGCAGTATGGCATTCACAAATACAAATTAATCTATCATCTCAGTAAATAACACACTAATATAGCTGCTGTTTCAATACCCAAATTTAAGTATTATACTTTCTAAGTATTACAGAATTTAAATATGGCTCTGTCCATTATAATTTCCCAATGACAGGTTAGGTCTGGTGATCAGTCAACTCATATTTCCAAGCTTAAACAACATGCAGACAATATTACCCATCAGTGACTGACTACTTCTGGAATTTTAACTATAAAAATCAAGCATACAGTATACAGTAAGCATACATTTTAGCACACAATACTGGTTACATTAAAATTGCCACGGTTCATCTGGCTCAGTTCCATCTGCAATGAGTGAGTCAAGGGTCTCTTCCTTGCGATCAGTGTTTCCCAAAGTACTTTGATTTCCTGTACTGACACATTATGGCCTAGTCACCCATTCACTTACTGAAATAGTTGTGTGATTTGTATTTTCATTACACTCTCTTGGGCACTGGCTCCACACATAACTATGTCCAGAGAGTGAATAGGTTTGCTTGTTTACACATTCTCCTCTCTTCAGCTGTAAGCGGTGCTCCTCTCAGTGACTCTTAGTTGCCTTGATCGGGTACTGAGGATTCAGAAGGCAAGTTCAAGGTCCATCTCTCCATGCTGTGTGACCACTAGACTTCAGGTCTGTCCCACTTCAGTCTGTCTCCCTTGTACAGCAGACTTTCACCCACTAAGATCCTTCTCAAATTCTGCTCGCTCTTGAAGTAAAAAAAGTTTTTAAATTTTGCTCTTCTGAGCCTAAGAATTCTACAGAACTTCTCATGCAAGCTTGCTTCCCCACCCCCACCCAAGTTCCACCACAGCTGTTCTTCAGTCTGCCCTAAACTCCAAACCACCACTGAAGGCTTCATCTACAAAACTCACCCACGGTTTAAAAACATGTGAAGAGTACTAATTCAGCAAGAATGAAAGAGTCTTACTTTGTTTTTAATCTTCTAAAGAATTCCTTGAAATCCAATGGCATTCCTGGCCTATCTACCGTATTTTGCCATGTATAATGCTCAACTTTTGCCCAAATTTTTGAGGGAAAAATAAGGATGCACATTCTACATGGGTAGTACTAATTCTGTATCTATATCAATGTTTTTAATTCTTTTATTTACACTTTTGTGTTAAAAGACTAACTGTAGAAAGCAATACTGATATCTGTATGCAAAATAATACCCTGGAATATGATAATCAGTTTTGTTTCTAAGTATATATAAATAAAAAACTGAATTATAAAATTAAAACAGAAGATTTTTTTTCCTGAAAGTTCTGGCCAAAAACGTGGGTGCACATTGTTGGGAACCACCTTGCCTGGTTTCAGAAGTGTTAACCCCCCATGGCCAAGGCTGAGTGAGAGACCTTGGGACCATAAGCCACTAAGGAGACAAAGCTCACCTCCCTGGCAGGGGCGCCGCCTCTGTCCCCTTTTATTTCACCCTGCCTGGCATTGGGAGGATGACCAGTTAGCCAACGATGGGTAAGATTCCTCAAAGGAGGGATGACCTAAGACAGGCATAGTCGAGAAGGGGGGCTCAGGGAAGGACTCAGAGGGCTATAACAAAAAGGAGTGATGGACCCTCACCCCTCGGCTTTGACACAGCCTGAGTCCTCATTCTGTCTGCAAGAAGTCTCCTAATCTCTTGGCTGCCTTACTTCCCCTGCCTGACTTAAGCCTGAAACAATGCCAGAGGGCGGTGCAGCCCTGGGCAGGAATGGTGTCAGGATCCCCAGGGCAATCAGGCCTAAGAAAGAAGGCATAAAATCCTGTGAAAGCTGCTTTGCTAAGAAGGCCCTCAGTTTTCTGATAAGGGTCCAAGCATGAAATGAGTTTGTTTCCCAAAGTTTTATGGCCCTTTAGCTAACTGACCCTGACTCAGAATAAGCCCTCAGAGTTCTTTGTATGTTACAAACTGTTTGATCCTTACCGCCTGACACTGACTGATGAGCTTTACCTGTATTCTTGTGCAAACTGAACCCAATAAAAGCCCACTGAGGAACAGGCTCCTGGTCCTCCTCCTCTGAGAGATCGGCCACCTTTCCTCCCCAAGCAGGTCATGTCTTGGTAGACTTGTTCTCATCCATGGTGGCCGGGGGTGGCTCTGCGGGCAAAGCTCCCCCATAGCACATTACACACGGTGAAACACGATAGTTTAAATCTGGGAAGGTCGAAAATCCTATGTCCTTCTATGTCCCCTCCACAACTCAATTATGGCTAGTTTTCTTGAGAAAGGACAGAGCCCTTCTTACTTATAACAAGGATAAGGCTTTAAAATACCAGGAGAAAGGCAATATATTAACTTAAATCAACAATAAATGAAACTGGTTACTATTGTGTGCTTCTCTAATAAGGAAGAAATTGAGGAAAAAAGGTCTAATGGGAGAATATGTACCTCAGAAGAGGACAGAAAATATAAAGAACAGGAAGAGGGTTCTTCTTTCTCAAGATTGCTTTGGCTATTCAGAGCCTTTGTGGTTCCATACAAATTATATAGAAGGCTGATAATTAACATACATACTGAGACTCAAAATACAAAGGTCTAGGATGGCAAGTAAAAAAAAAAAATAATGATCTCTTGGGGTTGCCCAGCATAGATTCTGTGGGCTGGAGACCAGGAGTGTTGGGTTCTAATGTGCTACTGATCGACTGAGTGACCTGAAGGGTGGGACATTAATCTTGTTGCTATTCAGTTACTTCATCTAAGAAGTAAGTCTAGACTAGATGATTTCTGAGTTCCTTCATTTTTAAAACTTCTGTGACCCAAACCCGGACTACCTTACCTGTGAGATCAGTGCCTTCTGGGAATATGAGGAGCTGAAGTGGTTCGCGGATGTCACAGAAGTAATCGATCATGTCTTCAAAGTGGCTCTTGTCATCCTTCCACTTCCTGTGAATGAAGATGTAGGCAGCAGCCTGCATGGCCCAACCTAGGATCGATTTAACAAGTATTTACATCCAGTTTTACTCCAATATCCGTATTATTGAATATAGTATTTCAGTGTTTTCATTCTACTATGAATGATTTACTATCATAATAAAAATCTCATAATACAGCTTCACGTAGCCCTGACCTCAGGTTAAAAACACGTATCAGAGAATATTCTTACAGGAGTTTGCTAAATTCTGGGGTTTCTAAAATTCTCAAAAGCCTCTTTCAAGCCAAGCCTAGCTATTAAAATATCAAAGAGCCCTGGCTAGTGTGGCTCAGTGGACTGAGCACTGGCCTGCAAACCAAAGGGTCACTGATTCGATTCCCAGTCAGGGTACAAGCCTGGGTTGCGGGCCAGGTTGACAATTGAGGGCGCATGAGAGGCAACCTCACATTGATGTTTCTCTCCCTCTTTCTCCCTCACTTTCCCTCTCTCTAAAAATAAATAAATAAAATCTTTAAAAAAAAAGTTCCCTAACATTTATCAGTAACTCATCCAAAGTTTTAACGATCCTAATTAAACAGGCATCTTAACCAAGCTACCTATAAGAGACAGACGGCTGTGTGTTGTCAGGCTTATACAGCAGTCAGCAAAGGGCTGTTCTCAAGTCATACATACGAGCACACTTTAATATTTCCCTTCTGCTCTACTCAACTGTAAATCCAAATGCTATTTGCAATTCTAGCCACTTCTTTAGATTTTATTTGAAAGGGAAAACGTGCAGTGGCTATAAACATGTTACCCAGAGTATACACTGTGGTCACATTCCCTTTCTCTAGGTCAAATCAATCTGGTCTCCAAAGAGGGGACCCTAAACGAGCCGTGTTTCACCCAAGCAGCCATCCCCACCGCCGCCCCCCCCCCCCCCGCCCCGCCACCACGGCCAGAAATGACTAGAACTGCTGTGGGGAACACCTGTCTTAAGTCAGCCAATCAGAAGTCCAGTCCATAGTCTATGGAACATGAAATGTTTGGCCCACACACAGTGAGTATCTTAGCCAATTAAATGTTCTCAGAAATTCTACCCGGGACCATGGAGAAATCAGGTTGGCAGTATATATAAATGCAAATGGGTGGACGAAAAGGCCCATGACAAAGACAGCAGCAGCTGAGGCGAGGTTGAGACAGTGCACTGTAGTGAAGAACTTGAAAAACAGTCTTGCAGCTGAGGTGCCTGACGCTGATTCTGACTGCGAACAAGACAGTTTTAGTCTCCACGAGCAGTGGCCAGTCTGTGCAACCACCTCTTAGGTGCTGCTACGAGTCCATCTCCCTAAATACCCTGTGTGTCTTTGCAACAATTGCCCACTATTGCAGCTAGCGGGGATGAGCAATTGTTCCTTACAAAGAATACAACTAAAATAAGAGCTATCAGCATTCGGTACATATAGCAGCATCTGAGGATATATAAAATTATTGAATCATTTCTGAATGATTAGAAAAACTATAGAACTTTATTTGGCTTGAGTTAAGTTCAAGCTAGAATACTGTTGCCTTCAAATATAAATAAGCATATACCAAAAAATCCACGTTAGTATAGGTGTTGCTGTTACGCATCCAATCACTGCTCACCCAGCGTCTGCCAGTCACATCCATCGGCACTGGACCTGACCCCACACTGACCCTCCCGCACGGCTCTCCCCCATCCTCGGACACCCAGGCCAACAGTGCAGAGTTCGCAGGCAGGGGAGCTCTGGCGTGAGGTTGCCTGGGCTGGAGTCATAACTCCACCAGAAACCAGCTGTGCGGCCTGAAGTCTTTGTCCCTCACTGACCCCAAATGTAAAAACTAGTGTAACGCTGTAACAGTATTTACCCGAGACTATTACATGAAGTAAGGAAGATTATTTAGCACGGAGTATTCAATAAATAAGTGATTATTATGATGATTAAAAAGTTCCAATAATACAAAGGATATTGTATCAAGAAATCTTAAAAATGTAACAAAGATCCCATTCACAATAGCAAAATAAAAATGTAAAAAAACCAAAACCCTGCACACATCACATGAAGACAACTACACAGCTGGGCAGAAACAGACGCACAGTGCTTCTGGACTCAACCCATATGCCAATGACCTCCAGACTTATCATTTATGAGTTTCATGTAATTACACTCGAATTCCAGTGGCATGAGGGTGTGTGAGAATTTGGCTAGTTCATCCTAAAGAGGGTCTGTAATAACAAAGCAGTGAGAAAAGCCAAGATAATTTTAGAGTAGAAGAATAGTAGGAAAAGATTCACACCATTAAATGTATTCATTAAATGTATTCCAAAGCAACAATGATTAATTTAGAACAGTATATCTGCAAAAAGAGACACCTAAAAAAGATTACAGGACCTAGAAAAAGGCCCTTGAATATGCGAGAAATTTGGTATAAGATAATGACAGTCTTCAAATCAGAGGATAGAGAATAGGTTGGCTGGGTTTGGGTTCTTTTTTACATTGTTACCGAGGTGTAACAATAAACTATGCATGTACTAAGTACGTAGGTGCAGAACTTAATGAATTGTTACATATGTCTCTGTGGCCGCCATCCTGATTAGAACCTTCCCGGCACCCCAGAATGCTCCCATGTGCCCTCTGCCAATCAATGTCCCCCCCACCCCAGCAGAGGAAACCATTAGTCTCTTCCTTCCCCATAAATCACAAAAGTGAAACCACACAGGAGATATTCTTTTGTCTTTGGTTCAATATAGTGTCAGTGAGATTCACCTACATCGTTATGTGTAGCAGTATTTCCTTTTCTGCACTGCTGTGTGGTAAACATATGAATATATTACAACTTATACTCTTGATGGAAAGATTTCTGGGATATGAAGAACAGAGTTTATACGGATATTCTCATAGCACTCTTTTGCTGACCACAAGCATTCAATTGTACAGAGTGAACACACAGGAGTAGAGCTAGCTACTGCATCATGAAATTCCTGCACGTCCAGCTTCGTGACTACACTGACACTCCCACCAGCAATGTATGAGACTTCTAATTGCTCTTCTGATAGCCTCGCCAGCACTAGGTCTTATGAGTCCTGTTAATTGTAGCCATTCAGATCCAGGTACAGGAGTTTTAATTTGCCTTTCCTTTATGATTAATGATGTTGAGAACATTTTCATATGCAAATTGGCCATCTGGCTGTCTTCTTTTTGAAGTGCCTCTTCAAACTTTTTGCCCATTTTTAATGGAATTATCTGTTATTAGCTTGCAGGATACCAAGTTCTTCATGAGATACACACACACACACACAGGAAATACGTAATTTTAAGTTTCACATATATTGGATATATTAAATATCTTCTTCAATCTGTAGCCTGCATTTTCTTTCCCTTAATGGTATCTTGTTATGAGCCTAACATTCAGTATTAATGAAACCCAACTAATAAATCTTTTCCAATGTGCTTGGTCCTTTTTGTATTCTATTTAAGAAATCGTTGTCCACTCCCAATTCATAAAGACATCGTCCCAGGTATTCTCCTGAGAGCTTTACTGTTTTATCTTTCACATTTCAGTGTGCGACCATCTCAGATTAATTTCTGTATATTGTGTAAGGTAGGTCAAGGTCCTTGTTTTCCATATGGATACTCAACTGACGAATAGCATTCATTGAAAAGACCAAGAGATTATTAATTTAAGATATTGCATTACACCGTGAGTGAAGACAGTGCGGTGAAGGAGCCGAACAATACAGACGTGCACAGACCAGAGCACGGAGACGCTCTCGTATCGCCCCGTCCGTCAGCCCTAACACACCAACCACCGTCTCTCTTCTATCATCCTGGCTAACAACTGCACGTGGATTGTTCCATATTTCAAAATTCATCACATACACGGTTGGTGTTTTTAAAAAAATACAATGCATCATACCTTTGTACTGTTCCATTCTTTTTTCATTTAACATGTCTATAAATATGGACCTGCTTTTTTAGTATCTGAGTTGTATTCTCTGAGAGTGCTTCTCAAACCGGTTTTATTTTTAATTTCCAAACCATTACTGATGGACAGTTTTGTAAACTACAATAAACTATTGGAAAGATGATGACACTTGAAGTTGTGACAATGTCACAATGCTACAGAAGTTTCCAGCCACTCTAGTTCTGCACTTATGGTGTCCTCCTAACGGTTTGCTAACTGGCACTGTTATATAAATCACATTTTAAGAAGCACTGTCCTATCATACAGATATAGACTGATCTAATATGTTATTATCATCTCCAATATATCCAATCTGAGAGTCTGGCTTTAGCAAAAAAGTTTACTCCATTCATTTACTAGAACCATTTTTCTTTTTCTTTTACTGACGTTTTTTGTTTCCTATTTGTTAGACTTCTTTATGGTTTTTGCCCACCTTTCTCCACTTTTCTCCCCTTGTTTTTCCTTAAAAGGACATTTTCTTTACCCCCTTCCTTTGTTCTGTGAGGCAGAGGTCAGCAAAGTATGGACCAAACCCAGCACATTATTTACTCAGTATCTTCGGCCCACAACTTAAGATGAATATTTTGAACTATGTGAAAGTTACGGGGAATCAAGTTGTATTGTTCACAGACAAAGTCTGATAAAAACTTGGCCACACTCGTGTGTTTACGTGTGCCATCTACGGCTGCTTCCGCGCCGCAGTGGCAGAGGGGATGGGCGCAGCAGGACCACACTGCCCGTGAAGCCCGGGCTGGTGACCCCTGGCCCTTCACCGAGAGTCCGCCAACCCCAGACAAAGACGGACGCTGTCCTCTTGTCCCTCTTCCATGATTTATAGAAATATTCGATAATTCCCCAAAGTTGCTGCTGTTGCTATTACTAACACATTCCTTATGCTTCACAGAAAGATCTTTAACTATTTAGACTCAGCCCTAAGTGTGCTGGCTTCTTTGCTTATTGGTGTTTCTTGTATCCTCTGCTCTCCTCTTAGTCCTGAAGGAATCTCTTCCAAAAATGTTTGTCTTCGCATTTCTGAAATGTATTTATTCTCGCTTTTGGAGGCTACCAGAGCTAAAAACAGAATT